TTTTGCCTACCCTCACACCACACAAACCAACCAAATCCAATGTACCAAACTAGATGCTTTAGTAAGAATGAACTTAAACAACAATTGTTGAAAAAGCTTTAAAAGTCATCTTTTGTTTCAAAGGAGCTTCTTTTTTTGTTTATTGTTTTCTTTCTCACCCTTGAGCAAATAATTTGCATCTACCTATATAAACTAACAAGCCACATTGATATAAATTTCATCCTCATGTCAAAATTTGAGCTTCATATGGAGAAAATGTATACTTATAATCATCTCTATCATCAAAACCTTCACTACCATCTTTTCCTTGTCTCATCATCTCTCTTACTTCTTCAATCCTCTCTAACATTCCCTTCAAAGCTAGCTCAAATGCATCTTCATTCCCTTCCGATCCGTAACTCGGATCAGCGTAAATAACTTTCGGTATCAACTTGATCACCTCTTCTCTCAATCTCACTACTTTTTCCTCTGAAATCTCAAGCAATCTCTCCTTGATTTTGACATCCCACTCCTTCACATCTTTGACCGGTAGATAAACCGAATAACTCTTGTGGTTTTTTGGCAAATGCCACTTGTATTGAGCGTAAGCTGTCCCCGGATGGAAGAACACCGGGATGCAGCCTGCCAATATCGAATCAAACATAGATCTTCTCGTGTAAGAATCTCCCGATGGCTGAAGACAAAACACCGAGTTCCTGAACACCTTCATCACATTGACAGGGTTATCACAATTTACTTTCCCATAGTTACAATCTAGCAAGTAACATTGGTTATTTGATTCCAAACATTCATCTATGATCTTCCCTCGAACCGAGTCTTTATATTCAGGCCTTGGAGCACCCGCAAAGGCGAACAGATACGCCCGTTTTTGAGACCTCATTCGCTCTTGCCACTCCACAATCTCATCAGCAGATGAAGGATGGAAACATGTAGGATAAGGAATAGCGTAATCGTTGTTCCAAGAACTCGATTCGATAGACATCATGGACATGTTTTTCGATTCGGTTAAGAACCTAAGCTTGCTTCCCCAATCGGATTCGTTATCAGTCTGTCTCCTAAAATCCCAAGCAATCCGTCCTGCAACCAAGAAATGGTCTCTACCTGACATTCGACTCCACTCTTTCTGTTTCACAAGCCAATCCATCAACTCATGAGACGAGGAATCTCTTACCGAAATGTTGAAACCCCATAGATACCTACTCATATCAAGACCTGCGTAAAAAGGCACGAAAATCGCAGACGCTAGAGAAGAGTTATGAGTCAAGCAACTGTATTTCTTCATCTTGTTGTGGAAAATCACCTCGAGCATAAACTGATTCGTATTAAACCAACTCTGTTTCAACAAGACATTCTCGGAATTCTGAATCTCAGGACCAAAACCAAAGTTATCTAGATAAGGGCATATATTCTTCTCGGTTCCTCTAGTAATCAAACTACAACTCTCAAGCAAATCACGATTGAATCTACTAGGAAGATCATGAAGATAGATATACCGACCAGAGCAAGAATCAGGTAATGGGTCATCGAGTAATCGAGAAAAGTTTGAATCTTTCGTGAATTCATTAGAAATGGAATTCTGGGTTGTGTCGGAAAAGGAGAAAGCGGCTTCGTCTGTGTCGGCGTCGGTGCCGGAGAGAGCAGAGTAGTCGAAACAGAGGAGAACGAAACAGAGGATGCAGAAGAGTGGGACGATGAACCAGACATTACTATG